GTGGTGTGTGTATGTGTATTGGGAAGAAGGATACAGAAGTGCCTCACATAAGCTTCTAATAATCCTAAGTTCAATTCCTACTAGGCTTAAAAATAAATAGTTGGCAAGCACAGTAGAAATCAGTAGCAACAAACAAACAAAAACGAGCTTTCCATTGCATATCGAAATAAATTATACATGTACTTAAAAACTGAATAAAAAGGGTTGGACCAACAAAAAAGAACTGCATATAAGAAAATAATAAATACTCTATGTAGAATATAATATGCTTAGATATAATGTCAGAATATAAGAATATAATATCATCTCTGGCAGTGAGGAAGACTGTTTAAGCCTAAATGCAATGAAAGAAATAAACAAAGAAAAAGTAATAATTTGATCACAAAAATATGAAAAATACCTGTATTCCAGAACCAGAAAACTGACTTGGAAGACAAACCACTCACTTTGGAAAAAATATGAAAAATAAGAGACCAATATACAAAGCAATACAATGTTTCAGAAAAATGGTCAGAAGACAAACATGGTCACCTCAGAAAAGAAATAGAAGTGGTGAACAAATATGAAAATAAATTTTAGAAGTAAAAATTAAAATAACAATGAAGAGAAAAATGCTGAGGAAACAATGACTACATTTTATATATTACTGAGAGAAACACAGTTTAGAACAATTTTATGGAAAGCGATTCGACTCTATAGTTTTATATTCATTAATCCAGTGATTCCATTTATGTCAACATGTAGGTAAAACTTTATATAAAAATTAATGGAAGCATTATTTGTAGTAGCGAAAAAAGAAAAATTTGCAACATAAACAACTGGTTAAAACTACTACCTATAAATAGGGAAATTATGCAGTAATTCAAAATTAGGGTTAAACTATTTCTTTTTCTTTTTTTTGTTTTTTTGAGACAGAGTCTCAGTATGTCGCTTTTGGTAGAGTGCTGTGGCGTCACAGCTCACAGCAACCTCCAACTCTTGGGCTTAAGCGATTCTCTTGCCTCAGCCACCCAAGTAGCTGGGACTACAGGCGCCCACCATAACACCTTGCTATTTTTTGTTGCAGTTGTCATTGTTGTTTAGCAGGCCTGGGCCAAATTTAAACCCGCCAGCCTCAGTGTATGTGGCCAGCACCCTACCCGCTGAGCTGCAGGTGCAGCCTAAAATACTTCTTAATGAAGTAATATGATTAAATGGTATAAGTAAAAAAGGTTTAAATAGTTTATATTACAGCTATTATGTAATATTATGTTACATATAATTATTATATAATATTACAAAATGCTATATGCTTTCAATTATATTAAAATACAAAGAGAAAAATTTTATAAGGCTAAATAGCACAATGGATAAATGATAAAATTTCACAGCTAAAATTTTGGGTTTAAGTTGCTCTGATTCACTATGTTAAAGAAGATAAAGGGCTTTCAGGAAAGTATTTAGTATTATTTGATAATGATTATATCACATTTCGAAATATTCGTAAAGTTTTCTTTGGGCCCCAATTATATTTGACTCCCTATTTTCTAACTTCTATTAAACCTCTTCATGCTAGTAAATCTATTTCTGTTCTATAGCTGTTTGGTTTAAATCTGCAAGAGAGAAGCTAGCTTTTTTTTTTTTTCCTGAAGTTTCCTTTTTTTTCCCTTTCCATTTGGTGATTTTAAGCTTTAATATACAGATGACCAGAGGGAATTCTGGGAAGATGGCTGACTGGTAGCAACCCTCAGCAGAGGCTCCTGAGCAGAGGAAGAAAAACTGGATGGGATAGGACTCTATGAAGCCAAAGGTGGGGAGCTGAGCCAAGAAAAAAGTTGGGCAAGCTGTAATTTCAAGGAAGAGCATTCAAGAAAACAAATTACAGGTACAAAGCCTATCAACTAGAAGATTGGAGAACCCACCCCCATGCAGGAGGCCTGTCACAGGCTCTCTGCAAAGGAGCAGGGAACAAAAGACCTCTCATTTTACCTCGCTGGAGAGAGCCGCTAAACTCCAGGTCTCTTTCTCCAGGAAGGTCCCACTTACGAACCTAGACACCACCCTGCCAAGCATAAAATTGAACAGATATTTTCCCCTACAAGTCCAAACTCCCAGTCCACCCTTTCCCCCTCGCATGGTGGTCTGAAGTTCTGCCTCCTGCAGAGCACAGCGTGTTCGGTCTTGCCCTGAGAGATCTGGGCAAAGTGTGGACCGCCAGCCATCAGGACAGAATCTGTGACTAACGGGGAAGAAAGAAGGTGTAGGAAGAAAGGGATACTTGGTGGGAGAAGGAGTCCCCTGGTTATGACTATGCCCGGCCAGTGGTGGTGTTGACCCTCGGTTCAGGCTATGTCTGGCGGGACAGGGTGCAGAACCCCCAGCTCTGATGACATCCACAGCAGGAGAGCGGTTGCCCCATGTGGACTGAATTGGGCAGACAGGGCCGGTTCCCAGCCCCTGCTGCACCTAGAGCAGACGCTTGCTAGGCATGGACTGAGACCCTGAGAGCAAGGGTATGGTCCCCTGATTCCAACATGTGAACCCGAGGGCTAGGGCATGGTCCCCTATCTCCAGCAGAGCTGGTGAGCAGAGGCTTACCAAGTGAGGACTGAGATGTGTGGGTGGAATGTAGTACCCTGACGCCAGCTAATCAATAAGAAAAAAAAACAAACCATTTCTATGTGGGCAAAAGACTTGAAGAGAAACTTCTCTGATGCAGACAGGCGCATGGCCTACAAACACATGAAAAAATGCTCATTATCCTTAATCATCAGAGAAATGCAAATCAAAACCACTTGAGATATCATCTAACTCCAGTAAGATTAGCCCACATCACAAAATCCCAAAACTACAGATGTTGGCGTGGCTGCAGAGAGAAGGGAACCCTTCTGCACTGTTGGTGGGACAGCAAGCTAATGCTACCTTTTTGAAAAGAAGTTTGGAGAACACTCAAGGAACTAAAA